ATTGTCTTTCATAGAGGAGAAGTTTTTAATTTTAATGAAGTCCACTTTATCAGCTTTTTCCTTCACGGGTTGTGTCTTTGGTGTTTTATCTACAAAGGCATCGCCTCACCCAAGGTCATCTAGATTTTCCCCTATTATCTTCTAGGGGCTTTACGGTGCTGTGTTGTCAGACATTCTTTACTGATTCTTGTTACGTTGACTCATTCAGTTCCTGGTGTCCCAAAGCTTCACGCCGTCCTCAAGTCTTCTGTGCAACTTCTCTCACCCTCGCTCTCTTCAGAAAATTTAGTCTCTTTTCAAGATACTGGAAAGATCAAATATAACCTCCCCAAATGTTCTGCCCTTTCCTCACAAAGAACCCGCGTCTGCCCTCCTCTCCCCGGCTCACAAGACGAGGCAGCTCCCGTCCTGGCCCTTCATCGCATCCTCTCCCATCTTCTCGTCTCTCCTGCATCACCAGCCTCTTACTCTCCACCAATTATTGCCCCCGAGTGAGAAATACGCTCAGTTTTTGCCCCAAAAAGAAATCCCTAAGCTGAAAAACAGCAGCAGCAGCAGCAGCAAAAACACCTCCTTCGGCCCTGCGTGTCTTCAGTTTTCTAGTTTTACTGTGCTTCATGCTCCTCTGGAACGAGCTCTTTTTGCCATCGTCTCCATTTGTTGCTTTCCGTCCCCTCTTCAGTCCCCTGAGCGCTAACCTCCCCAGCACCACGCTGTCACCGGCGTAGCCGAAGACAGGAAGACAGCTGCATTGCACTCACCGTCCCTCTCTGTGCTCCGCGTGCACCCCAGACGCGCACTCCGACCTTCGCCTCGCGTCTCACTTCCACGACCCCAGCGCTCTTATTTCGCTGACATTTCTTTTCACTCGTCCGAGCACCACTTACATGTTGTTCTCCCCCACGATGCTGCCTGAGCTCGTTTCACCGTTCAAACTGGCACCTGTGTGGGTGCTGGTGCCTGGCACGCCCCCTCCAGGCCCCGCCTCTGCGCTTTGGGCAGAAGGCAGGTGGTTCTGTGCACGCGTCCCGCAGGCTCGCAGGATCCAACGTGGCCGTGGCTGGATTCCTCGCCGACCCCCCTGCTCTTTGAAACTTTGGCTCCCCTCCTCCCCCCTCCCCTCCTCCCCTCCTCCCCTCCTCCCCCCCTCCCCCCCTCCTGAGTCAGCAGCCCCATGAGTTTCGGAACCATGTTCGAAGCGCACAACGCCCAACAGAAACATAAGGAGAGCCACACACGTAATTTAAAGTTCTCTGGTCGGCACGTCGAAAACGAAAACGAAGCAGGTGAAATGACTGTTAAAACAGATTTTAACGTGGTTGTTGACCTTAAACAAATCGCCAGACGCTATTCCAGCAAAGTGGGTTTATTGGGAAACAGCAGGGAATCGCAGTCTGAGACGTGTGCTCTAAGGGCCCACGATGGGCGAGTCCAGAGAACACAGCAGAGAGATGGTCTTTGTCAGAGGACAGGGGTGGCTCGCAGCGGCTGCGGGGCAGGGTCCCAGGGGACCGGCAGTCTGAAGGGCGGGGCGTTTTCCTGGCTGAGCCGGAACAGTCTTCCATGGGCTGAGTGGTTCCCAGGTGAGGAGAAGACCCTCCTCTCTGCCGGAGGAGCATAGAAACGTCCTCCTGTGGAGACGGAAGGTCTGCCTCTGCCTTTGGGGTGACAGTGAGTGAGGGCGAGAGCCCCTCCCACGGGCCCTCCTAACTCCCATCTCAACAAGGTTTCTGTTTATTCATCTTCACATGATACATTTAAAAACATTTGATAAGGTGTTTTGCATTTTTCTGTACTAAGTTTTCATAATCCAGTGTGCATTTCACTCTACTGCTCATCTGGATGGAGACTCAGGCTCCATGGCGTGTCCGGCGAGTGGCCCCGTGGAACGCAGACCTCTGCCTTCGGAACCCCGTCTTCCAGTCCCAGACCTGCTGAGTTTATCTCCTAGGGGTTTATCCGGTCGGTTCATTTATTGTCATCCTCACTACATCACGGCTTAACTTGCACCTTGGTCATTTCTCACGTGGGTTATGCTTACGCACCTTGTTTCATGGTCCCAGGGAGTGTGCAAAATCTACCCTGTGCAAGAGAATATAGTAGAACATCTACTTATATGTATTTTTCAGGTGACCTTTATTAATATTTAATATACAGCACCCTTGCTTCATGTCATAGGGAAGTTTATAATAAAGTTATAGATGTAACAAATAAAATATATTTCCCCCACAACATTAAAACCTATTTAAAATATTTATTTTATCTATATGTCATACTCTCACATTTCTCTGTATTTCAATGTGATATACACCATTTATTAATACAGTGGTCATATATCCTTAAAAAGAAACTGACAGGTGTACTTGGCATTTATTTGGGGACTGCAGGGGAGAGAGGTCACTAACATGTGGGGCCTCATTGCCCTGGATCTGACTTGACCCTGCCGGCCTCTCTAGCTCCAGTCTCTTCCTCTCCATTCACATGTTCTGCACACAGTGGCTCTTTCGTATTTTTTTTTTTTTTCTTGTTTGTTCTTCATAAAAAAACACAACAAGGAAGCGGGCAAACTAGTTCCTGACTTGCCTAGTTCTATTTCTCTCCCAGGTTCTTTTTAAAAAATTTTTTTCCCCTTTGATTTTAGAGAGAGAGGAAGGGAGAGGGAGAGAGAGAGAAAAACATCGATGAGAGAGAACATTGATTGGCCGCCTCCTGCATGCCTCCCACTGGGGATCGGACCCCAACCTGGGCATGTGCCCTGACCAGGAATCGAACTGGCAACTGCTTGGTGCATAGGCTGATGCTCAACCACTGAGCCACACCGGCTGGACACTCCCAGGTTCTTTTGAACTTCCACCTTTGACACTTTTTCCGTGCTGCCGAGCACCCCTCATGAGCTCAGCACGGTCCCTCTGCCCTCTTCCATCGAAACACTGTCTCTGACCCGCTTTTCCTACTTGGCTCCTTAACGGAGCGACTGTCCATCGATGGGCAAAACAGTGATTCGCTTATTGCAACTTGTGACTTTTCTGGAAAACCTCCTCTCTTTCCAAAGATACCTGATACAATGAAATAATAGTTACACTTAAAACATTTTTATTGAACGTACTGGGGTAACATTGGTTAACGAAAGGATATAGGCTACAAGTGTGCTACAGTTCTGTTAGTAAATACACTTTCATTGATACTGTGATTATTGTGCTCTGTGTAAGCCTTGGTAGCAATGTTAGTGTGACTAACGAGTTCCTTCTCACTAAAAGCCAGATGACATCATTTCCTCTCAGGACGAGGGAGATTTGCTTGTATGGATGCAGGTGGTGGTTTTCAAACTTCAGGATGAATAAAAATCACCTTGGGAATATGTCAAAATATAGGTTCCGGGGCTTCATATGTACACATTCTGGTTCATTTGGGACTCATACGTGACCCTGAAATTGGAATTTTCGGAAGCATCCCCATGGTTATGATACAGCCAGTAGAAACCATTGTGTGAGAAGTGGTGTATTCTCCTGTCTGAAGTAGCACAGGGTAAGAAGGAGGAGGAATTTTGAACAGTGGAGAGACTTTTCATAGTCTGGGCCTGTGTGGGGCTCTGGGGGGGGGGGTCTATAAAACTTTAAAAGTAGAGTGGACACCTGGGAGATGCAGAAACAGGGAATCGAGGGGGGCAGGGGAAGGCTTGGAGGATCAATAGTGATAACCTTGAATTATTTCATAATTTTCCTTAGGATTGACTTTTTTCTTCAATTAGAAAACTTAACAGCAATATAAATATAAAATCTGATAATTAGGGTATGTCCATCTTCCTTTGAGGACTGATAGTCATTCAATAATTTGGTAATTTGAAAATTCTCTCAGGCTCTCTGGGGTGTAGAGCAATTTAGGTATAGGATGATTTTGGACATTTAAAGCAACATTATACAATTCCATATAGTATTTCATTTCTGGTTCTGTGATGACAAGAATTATGTAGCATAGAGAGGATAATAAACTATGCCGCAAGGAAAAACACAATTTAATTTCACAACTGTGAGAAAAAAATAGATTTTCACTTAAATGGCATTTATAAGTCATTTCTAGCAAATAATCCAAGTTGTGCATGTTTTAAAATTCAGAAGCTGTTTAAAGATTTTTATGAAGTTACTATATATCCTTTAGTATGGCCAATAACAACCAGAGGTAGATGGATAAATCCAGACCATTAAAATACTCCAAACTTTCTTTTTTTTTAAATCCTCACCTGAGGATTTTTCCATTTATTTTCAAACAGAGTGGGAGGAAGAGAGAAAGAGAGAGAGAAACATTGATGTGAGAGAGACACATCGACTGGCTGCCTCCTACACGACCCTGACCAGGGCTGGGGACCAAACTGCAACCAAGGTACGTGCCCTTGACCGGAATCGAACCCGTGACTCTTTGGTCCACGGGCTGATGCTCTAACTGCTGAGCCAAACTGGCCAGAGTGAAGAACTTCAAGCTTTTAATTTTAGCTTATTGTTTCAGCTCTCAGCGTCATTCAGCCTTATTCAGAGGTGTTAACAAGGGACCATTGGGTTGGCTTGAGTTTTGAATTTTCTCCACTTGGTGGCTAGCCCCTGGTACAAATCCTGATGAGACCAAACCAGGCAAACCGGTGGCCGCTGGGCTGCAAGGGGAGCAGGGGCGGTGGGCAAGGGGCGTCTGCTGCTGTTTATGCAACAGCTACACCCTGGCAGCCGTGGCCACAGAGGGCCTGGCACAGGCCACGCCACCCCCTCCCTGTCATTCTGCTCCCACCGCCTCCAGAAATCTGCCATTCTGATGTTGCTCCTCTGATGGGAGAGACCTCCCTAGTTATCTGTGCTGGTGGAGAGAGATGCTCTTGCCTGGAGAAACAGACGTGGCACGCGGGGGACACCGCTGTTCCGACTGTAATTTGTATTGTTTTTAACTCTGTGCAAGACCCGTGGTCCCCACTGGCTGCCTTGAACTCAGCGTGTCTGCTGACCTGTGTTCTCTCCTAGGTGATCCGCAAGGGCTGGCTGACCATCAGCAACATCGGCATCATGAAGGGCGGCTCCAAGGGGTACTGGTTCGTCCTCACCGCCGAGAGCCTGTCCTGGTATAAAGACGACGAGGTAAGCCGCAGAGGTGGCGGTGCGTGCTCACTCCGAGCGCGCGGGGCTGCGGCGACATTCGGTGACGAGACCCGGGGTTCTCTCTCAGGGAGACCGGGCTTGGGCGTGTGTTTGAACAAGCACTGTTGTTGTCCCCTCAGCGGTCTATAACTGTCCCTTCAAGTTTCTTTCACTTCTTTGGGGTCGTCACGTGTGTTTGCTGGAGAAACGGAGTGAGGAGTCCGTAGCTGGAAAGTTCCTTCGCGCTAAGGGCAAGGCGCTGATACCAAGGGGAAGCCTTTTCCCCAAATGACGTGTCAAAAGGCTCAAGGCAAGAGCGTTGTAACAGCGAAATCAGTGTGGCAAGGATACTGAGTTAGTAAAACACGTTGGGACTGCGGCTGCGACGTTGGCCTCAGATGACAGGCTTTTGAAAATGTCCAAGTCACTCATCTTCAAGTCCCTGGTAACTGTTTATATGCATTTGGCTCTTTGAGAATTTGATATCTGTGCAAAAGCATGAATTATGATAATGATGCTTCATGTCAGATGTTAATAATTTTGGTCCTGTGACTTCCTACTCGTTCAAACCTGATAGCTATGAAAGCCCCCCCCCCAATATCTCTATACCGTTCTTGCAGAGTCGGTAAGGGGCCACAGAGAGGTAGTGTCACTGCTAACCGGGGAGGGCATGGATGGAAATTAAACTATGTTTTGGAAATTTTAATAGCTCTGGTCTAACCCAAGACTTTTTTTTTTTTATCCTCACCCGAGGACATTTTTTCATTTTTTGTTCAGATAGAGTGGGAGGGAAAGAGAGGAAGAGAGAGAGAGAGAGAAACATCGACATGAAAGGGACACATCGAGTGGCTGCCACCTGCACGACCAACCAGGGCTGGGGACAAACTGCAACCGAGATATGTGCCCTCAGTGGGAACCGAACCCGGGTCTCTGGGCCGCAGGCCGACGCTCTAACCACTGAGCAAAACTGGCCAGGGCTGACCCGAGACGTTTTTGATGCTTAAAAGGCAGCAAGCAGTCAATAAGGAAACTAACCCACGGAAGCAAAGCTGTTTACAGGTGAGGTCGTCTCAGATTTATTTGGGCTACAGAGCGTGCATTTCGGACGTAATAATCCTTCCCATCTTGGCTTTGTATCTTTGAAAAACATGACAAGGTACCTTTGTCAGTTGTTGGAGGAAAATTTTCATGTCTTATATAGATTTGCTGTTTCCTAAGTGCTTTGTGTACGATAGCGTGTTGAGTACTGGATGACCAGTGGTCACTGAATTCTCTGTAAGGGAAAGCAAACCCTACAGAAAAGTCCTAAGAACCTTTCTGTCTGTTCAAAAGCTTTATTTTCTATTTTTATGTCGTGTATTTTACTGACTTCAGTCCAAAGTAGAATTGACCGCTGGGAGAGTCTGAGGACTAGCAGTGCTCACTTCCCTGTGCGGGCCGCTTAGATGTCCCCATCATTCTGGGGTGGTCCCCAGTGTTCAAAGAGCACAGAGAACAGACTGGCAGCTATCAGAGGGGAGGAGGTGGGGAGCTGGGTGAAAAAGGTGAAGGGATTAGGAGGAAAAAAACCCACCAAAAACAACACATAGACACAGACAACAGTCTAGTGATTACCAGAGAGAAAGGGGCGGGGGAGGGAGAAGAGGGTGTAGGGAGATAAACGGTGGTAGAAGGAGACTTTGAACACAAGACAGTGTACAGATGATGTATTATAGAATTTGAAATCAATATGATTTTATTAACTGATGTCACCCCAATACATTCAATAAAAGTTAAAAAAAAAGGCACCGCTTCAGGAACTCAGAGATCGAGGCGCCCCAGACATCCAGATGGGCGAGCGGATTATCTTCTTGTGTGCTCAAGTTGCTTAAGAGATCTTCTCTGAGATAAATTTTGTTTCCAAGGGTTTAGATGATCACTTACATACATTTGCACACATATTAGTCTTGGGCACTTTCTCAGTTTGTCTAGGGAAAGCAGAAGATTTGACGGAGGAGCCATGATAGTAACCGCTAGTGTTTCCTATATACGTATTATGTAACGCATTTAATCCTCGATACAACCCTGAGAATAAGTACTTTGATCCCCATCTTTCAGGTGAGTAAACAAACAAGAACAATCCTCCACCTTTGAAAATTCACGGCTATAGGACTCAGTGTCCCTTATTGCAGAACACTTGGTGTCGGTGAGGTAGCTAACTTCCCAAGGTCGCATAGCTAGTTGGGGCCAAAGTAGAAATTCGAGCCCAGGCCGCTGGCTCCGGAGCTCATGTCCCGAACCACAAACGTACACCGGAATCCCAGAGATGCTGATCTGTCCAAGGCGATGTCATCCTGAGCTGAGTCCCAGGCATCTCAGCAGCGACCTTTTCTGAAGACTTAGGGCGGTGGCTGCTTTGGAGCATGGCTTTAGGGTTCTCTTGTCTGGCTGTGTGGGTCCTGAAACTAACCCACTGGAAGGCCCGTGATGCTTCCTGTAGGCAAGAAAGACACCTGAGGTCTTGGGGAGCTCCGTGGTCACTAACCATGGCCAGAAACTCGGGGTAACTTCTTACACAGTCTCTGCTGCTGCTGAAGCTCCACGGTGAGCACCTGGTTCAAACACAGAGAAGAGAAGATACACGTGTGCAGGTGTCATGTTAACTGAATGCCAGAGGGCATTTTCTTGAAGGTGTGTGCGTGTGTGCGTGCGCGCGTGTGTGTGTGTGCAGGGTTGTTGGGCGTGGGGGAGAGTGGGAATGACCCCTGAAATAAATCGCAGTGATTTAGATGAAAGTTTAGGAAAGCGTTGGTTTCTCAGTTTAGATCATTTCAGGAAAGAGAAAATAACAGACGCGTCTGCTGCTCAATGGAACCAACGCACAGACCGACAGTATTCTATCAGATTCTGAGTGCTGGGGAGAAAATAAAATAGGGCCGTGTGCTAGCAAATCTGGGGAGCACCTTTGGATTGGGGGGTTTGGGAGGAAGCAACACTGGAGCGGACTGGAATGATGCGCCGTAAGAAGAATTTGTGGAGCAGCGTCCCGCGTGGAGGGAATAATGCTATACACCCAGGATGGCAGCTGGCAGGAAGCCGGTGCTGGGGGCGGGGGGGGAGGAGCGGTGAGGGAGACAGACACATCAGGGATACAATCAGAGGCACCAGTGGGCGGGGCCTAACCAGGTTCCACCCAATGACAGGGGCTTTACTCCAAGTACACCCGAAAACCACCGGAGGGCTCCCACAGGATGTGGCACGGTGGGGTTCAGGCTTTAGCGGGCAGCTAGGCGACCGTGGCAGGGGTCTAGGCAAGAGCAGGTGGTGGCCTGTCCCTGGTGGCATGATACACTGCTCAAGTTCAGGGTCGCAAATTGAAGGGCCGCCTACAGCGACACTGCCCCCCATGGAAACTCTGCCCGACGAATAATATAGGACCTTTTCCAACTATGAATGCCTGCCTCACGAATGACCCTGATCCCCAAAGTGTCTGTCAGTGGGACAGAGCCCTTTGCCACCGGAGCCACCATGCATTCCTGCCTTGCTGACCGGCCACCACCCCGGGTGTCCGCACCCCGCCGGTTCTGCAGAGCTAGCTTAGCATGGCAGACACCTCTGAGCCTGCTCTCAGGGTGACAGGAGGGGGGCACGGCCCTTCCTCTGCTGGTGTTCCGCAGATGTCCTAGGGCGCCGAGGCCGGGAGGGATGGGGCCCGCAGCAGCCCGGGAGGGTGGGCTCAGAGGCGGTGATGCACCTCCGGCCTCTGCGAGTCGCCCCGTGAGCACCATCCTTCAGCAGCCACGCTTCCGGCCCGCGTGGGGTCCGCAAAGGCCCCGCTGCTCCAGTTCAACCGCGGAGGAGCTGCGCGTGGGTCTGTGGGGAAGCCCAGAAGCCGGGTGTAGACGGGTCCTCGGTGCCGAGGCCTCCGTCGGAGCTCAGCCTGGGCGGGCAGTTTGTCGCAGGCCCGGGGCTTGTCCTTGCTGCCGCGGGGTCTGTCCCCGTGCACGCCAGCACCCTCCGCTTTGGACGTGCGTGCACTGGCCCGTCTCCCCCTCTCCGTGAGCAGACGGGACGGACTGCACGTCATCGTTATTCATAGCCACTCATCCACGGTCACCGCACTCACGTTGTCGGGGGGCGGGGGGCGGCGGTTTCCCCGAGTTCTGCCATCCTCGTGCTTTCGCGTGTAATTAGACGGGTATGTTTTCATTGTAATCCAAGCGGCTGTGGAAGAAATAGCACATTGCGTCACATGGCCAGATTTGGTTTTATTGAACTTTTGAGAGGTTTCTAATAAATACAAACGACTTGCGAAATGTATTTGTGAGGAAGGGAACAATGGCTCGAACGTTGTCCAGGCTGAGTTAATTGAACAGAAGACCGTAGAGACCACGTGCCCAGGCGGTGGAAGGGGGAGGCTTGGAGGCCGTGGGCTCCACGCGCTGCGGGCTGGGGACAAGTCACTGTGCCCTGAGCCTCCGTCTCCTCGCTCCCCAGATGGGAACCGCTGCCCACCAGTCACCCCGAGGGGACGTTACAGGACTCGAAGAAATCCTGTATTACTGAGTGCTTCCATAAACGTTTCAGTCCTCCCCTTTCTGGGTGTACTTCTGCCGTTGCCAGGAACCAGTGCCTTCCATCCGTGATGCCAGTTTTTGTGTCTTCTTATTTTTAATTTGTCTTCTCAAACTCTCATGTAACATAGGATCTATGGGGCCTCGAGGGGGTTTTGTTTGGTTGGTTGGATTTTTTAGCAGAGAATGTTAGGGTTCAAACAATAAGAGGGAACTCAGATCCCAGTCCTCCAGTGAGACTTTCCACCCGGCCTTCCCCTCCAGCCTAGGGGTTCTCCTACACTTCAGCCAGGAAGTGGAGATGATGATATCAGACTCTGATTTCCCAGCAAGAGCATGATAACCCCGTGTAAGAATGTTGAACTGGAGTTGGCATGACTATAATAGTAAGTCCCAGCATTTTGCCTTCTTATTCTGAATAGATCCATCCACTACCCTTGAATTCTA